AAAATCCCTGAAATTGTCATACTTGGTTGTACCTGAATGATTGTGTGGTTATGCTTCATTTGGTAGGTTTCTTGTACTAAGACCTTTAGCAAACTTATCTTGCAGGAATTTAAGTTAGAAAATAATTCATTTCGCTGGCATAGATAGGCCCTCCGCATGCCATCTTCCTGCTGTTATCTGGAAACTGCAAGCTGTTATCTGCAAACAAGGCAATGCACACTGCTGCAGAGATTTTGTATAGCATCACTCCATTCAGAAAGTCTGTGGGAGAAAATATCTCTTCCCAGGTAACACCACTTTAATCCAGAATAGGTTTTTGACAGTAAGAGAAATTGTTATTTGACTTTGGATTTCCTCTCTTTTCTTTGCTACCCGATAAGAAAATCATGAATTTAAAATTGTGCTTTTAAAGTGTGGATTTAAAATTGTGTCTTTTCCTGACCCACTTGAGCTCTTGTCTTGTTTCAGAACAAATTCCAGAACTTGTTTAGTTAAAAGCAGGGGTGTCAAACTCAAGGCCCTGGGGCCAGATCCGGCCCACGGGGTGCTTAGATCTGGCCCGTGGGGCCACCCTGGAAATAGCGAAGGACCAGCCTGTGGTGCCTCTGCCAATGAAAATGGAGCTTGGGAGGGCCGCGCACAGCCCTCCCGAGCTCCGTTTTTGCTGGCAGAGGGTTGCAGGAGGTCGTTGCAGCCAAAAATTGTGTTCGGGAGTCCATTTTCACTGCTAGAGTGCTCGGGCTGCCACAGGCGCCATCTGACACAAGTGACATCATGCTGGCCACACTCACCCCAGCCACACCCACCCCGGCCCCCCAAGGTCGAACACAACCCTGATGCAGCTCTCAACAAAATCGAGTTTGACACCCAGGCTAAAAGTATTTGAGAATTTCTTTTGGCACTATTGTTTTTTTTTAAAAAAAACACCGTTATTTAAAAATAACACTTTTCTGTTTGAACATTAATAAGAAAATTGGAAACTAATTAGAATGATCTGATGCAGTATAAATCAGAAGAATTTATCTTTCTGATATTATAAAATTAGTAAAGAGAGGGAGTGAGGAGGTGGCCAAAACACTCTATGTAAACTCGTATTTACTAAGGCTTTTCTCCTCTTGGATAGTTGTATCAATGGTATTCATTTCTCAACAAGTTACAGTCCTTTGAATTGTTTTGTAAGCAATACAAACCTCTCAGCTAATTCCTTGCAAGAGACGTTTGATGGCAGGGAGTCTAATTATTACCCTTAATTAGTCTACTTTCTATAACAACCCAAATGATTTTTAAAATTCAGGAGTTTTACTGTTCATGTTTGAAGTTACAAAGGTATTTTGACAAGCAAAAGGAAAATATTTTTCGTTCCTCATTGTATTTGTATCTTGAAAGAATCTTGAAAGCAGCTATGTGCAGTCATGTAAAATGTAGGTTGAAAGTTGCCATAGCAGCAGAGAAATAGATAAGTTTGGAATAATTGTCCAAAAATAGACCATTTAGCAATTGCATGTCTGTAGGAGAATACTGAAGCCTCAGCATCATAGTTTGAAATTAATTTTTAATTTTGATAAATATTTAAATAGATAACATTGTTAAAAATATACTGAAAGATTGGAAAGATCAAACTGTGAAAATAAGAACTTTGAAATATTTACAATGGATCACATATATATTTTATATAGAATTTCAATTGTATTGTTTATGCAGTAGTGTTTAACACTTTTAATTAGATGCCCTTTACAGATTTTGGAGTTTTGTTTCAGGTATTCACTATGTACATTTCCAGATATTTGATATTTGGTTAGTATGAATAAGGAGTTCACACATCTATACTTCCTTATATCACTTGGTTAATATGTCACAACTCCTAGCTGCATGCATAATTGGTTGCTATTAAAAGAGGTTATTTTGACATTATGTGATTATGAAAGTACTATTCCACAATAATCTATTTATTCTGCATACAAATAAGTAATTCGTTGTCATTTAGAGGCCCAAATAGTCTTACTGAGGAGCAGAGAATCTTGTATCAGTTCTGATTAATATACCAACTGTACAGAGATAGTTTTGCTTCCGTTATTTTTGCCCTAGTAAATACTTGTTTGAATCATTAATGTAGTATTTAATGCTGACTTTGAAAATGATTTTAAAAATTCATAAATAAAAAGTAAAAGTAAAAAGTCAGCAATAAGATTCTTCAGTGTTCAGTAATCATACTATAATAACATTTTATGATCTATTTTGGATTGCAGAGCCAAGTCCATGTTCTTTCCATAAATCTCTAGAGGTCAAGTCTTCTGAAGAGTATCTCCTTTTACATATTAAGCCAGTTGACCAATATTCATTGTTTGATTTCAAATCTTGTTAATATATTTACTAAATTTTCTGTGGTTTGTGTCAGAGAGAAAAAAGGGAAAATACTCTGGGATAATCATAGGTGACCAACTTACAATATAAACAATGAGTGGAAGCTTATGTTCTTTGTAAATAGATGTTGAATCCCATAGATCCAGAAAGCCAAACTGACTTTCATCTTTGGTTACCAAGTTGTTGCAGTTTAATCAGTGGTGGGTTTCTACCAGTTCGCCTCGGTTCAGGTGAGCCGGTAGCAGCGATGGTGAGCCGAGAGCGAACTGGTTCTCTCTGACTGTCAGCTAGGCTCTCCCGCCCACCCCTGCGCTATACCTACCTACATTCCTTCATTTTTAGCCCAGCTCATAGGTGCGGCAGAGCGGATTGCCGTGCCTCAGCTGTTCTGAAATGTAATCTCTTGCATGAAGCACGTGCAAAGAGTGCGCAAAGCAAACCGGTTGAAAAGCACCACTGAGTTTAATAATTGTTAAACTGAATTGTTCTATGATGGAAATATGAGTTGTTAATGAGTATCATTAATATGTGAAGTGTTATTTTTCTACTTTTGGGTTTTGTATATAATAATATAGATGATTAAGAATGTGGATGTTTTATTTCTTCCTCTTTTTGTTTTGTTTTTTTACAAGAAGCTGAATTACTTTAATATGAAAAGTTATTTATTTATTTAAAGATACAATGTTATTTTAGGGTAACTTTTATAGAATCATGTGGTTGGAAGCCATTCAGGCCACTAAGTCCGACCCCTGTCAGTATACTTGTCACACTACAGTTGAATTGTAAAGAAAATGCAAAATGAAAAGTCCAAAATAATGGTATTACACCACTAAAAACTAACACTAATCATATATGTATCTGTACATTTATGTGGTCCCTCATCTGAAATGCACAAAATTATGACTTCAGAAATATATGGCCCTCACAAAAAAACCCAAGAACTTAAATATTACAAAATTTAGAATACATAAAGAGCCATGTACATTTTGATAAGAAATTTTGACATAATATTTGAATTTTCTCCCCCAGGAGTTTAAATGCAATACCGTTAATCCATTTTTTTCCTCAGAACAATAACTCTCAGAAGTAAACTGAAAGAAAGTGACTGTCTAAAGTTACTCCTGGTCAAAGTGGGCTTGAACATATTTCTTCCTGCTCCTACTTCAATCCATCATTGTGTCACCAAAATGTGAAATCAGTAATTTGGGAAGAATATTTCATGCTGCATCATTTACAAAACAAGGCTCCCAACATTGAACATAGAGTATATTAGAATTTGACTAGAGATGCAGAAGATTCTCTGTCCATACATATCAAGGACACCTTACCATCATGGAGAATATTACCATTGTTTTATGACCATTCTGACTTTAGAATGTAACATGACCATGGCTTATACCAACATGAAGCTTTTTTTCTCATGTTCATAAACTCTGGAACATCGATTTGTTTCATTTTTATCCTCTTACAGACAGAACTAGTCGGTCAAATATATTTTGAGTCAGTCAAAACTGGACAGGGAATCTTTTAAACCTTTAAGCTTTTCTCCCAATAGCCTGTTTCCTTCCCTACATTTCTAAAGAATCTTCAGAGTGTTCTCATGTAACACTGAATCCTATTCTAGTTTGCGCCAAAAAAATAACAGTGGTGGTTAGCTTTTAGGCAAGAATCTATTTGTAACTATTCTTTCTTGTTGGCTTTTACGGCATTTTGGCTATTTTTATGATTAGTTTTTAATTTCTTTTTATGCGTTGCCCAAACTTCCTATCAAGAAAAAAAAGACAGCAGGTAACAGTGGCTAGAAAACAAAAGATATCTAAGATTGAACTTTTCCTTTTATGATAGAAAATTTCCAAGGAGTCTTGAGGAGAGATAGCACAAATTAAAAGAATAAGTAACAGTAGTTCTATACTGTTCAGACATCCGGCAGATGAACTTATTAATTAGCTGAAATACATGTTTATATGCCTTTTATTTCAAGTGGTAGATCAAGAACTCTACAATTCTTTGGAGGGTTGTTAGCAGTTGCTCAAAGATATGAGAAAGCAAATACATCTTTCTGAAATATGGTTAATATATTCCACAATGCTACACCATAGGGTAATGTAAGATGTACTCTGGAGCACATCTTTAATTCATGAATGATGTTAGTGATGCAATTATCAAATCTAACAAAATGATGCAACAAATATGCAAGAAATGAGGGTGGCTATAGAAAATAAAGGAAATGACCTTAATAGAGCTAGACCAGATTTGAAGAGAAAAATGTGGCTTAAGTTCAGAACAATTAGAAAGTATGGGTTAAATGGCTTAGACACCTCCCTAGTTCACATGGATATAAAAAGGGAAGGAGACACAGCATAGTCACACTTGCAAGTTTTTATTATAGATAATCTAAATAATAGTAGATTTAGCCTTCCTGTGGAGTGAATTGTTGGTCTGGGTTACTATGTAGGGCTGACAATGTACATCCTAAGTTATCTCTAGGCTTCTTCTGGAATATGCAGGGCTTATGGACTTTCACTGTTGTTTCACTGAATATTAACAAGTTTCAAAACATTTGAATTGATTAATAATGTACGAATCTTGCACTTATGATTACTTTTCCTTTTACAATCTCATTTTCTTTATTATTTTAGATATGGACATGGTTATGAAATTTTTTGTGTTGCTTGCAATAATGCAGGCACTGTGATAGCCTCTGCGTGTAAGGTAAAGAAATATTTTTAAACAATAGCTTTGAAATTCACATCCAAAGTGATAAATATCTGATTGTTCTCTGTGTTGGATGGTTTTAGGGACAACAGAAGAATCCTATCATTTCCAGTAGTCTTAATTCTGCATCCCACATGTTATATAATGTATAATATGTGAGACACACATGTATACATGTATATTATATATGTATGTATGTATGTATGTATGTATGTATGTATGTATATAACATACACAACATAATATACCATATTTTTCGGAGTATAAAATGCACCAGAGTATAAGACGCACCTACCTTTTTTGGTGAGGAAAAGAAGAAAAAGAAATCTGCCTCTGCCTGCCAGCAATTTTCCCTCGTTGCAGCAAACAGCAAATAGCCTGCTTTACTTTCATTTTCAGCATAGCTTGATTAGCACAAGGAAAAAAAATGTGCTCCAGCAATTTACCTCTTTGCAGCAAGCAGCAGACCCCTGTGCAAAACAGCTGAGAGCAAATCAGATGAGAGTCGGGAGGCTGATCCAATCAACTTGTGCTAATTAGGCTGTGCTAAAGCTGAAAGGAGCTGTTTTTTCTTGCTGTTTGCTTGCAAGGAGGTAACTGCTGCGAGGCAGAGGCCAAAGGGTGGGGGTCAGTGGATGGGCGGGGCTGCATTCGGTGTATAAGACGCACCTAAATTTTCATCCCCTTTTAGGGGGGAAAAAGGTGCATCTTATATTCCGAAAAATACTGTATATAATATATTTAATATTAAGAACCTCTCCAGTCTAAAAGCAGTAGCTGCTGGATGTTAATATTCTCAGCAGTTAAGAATGGGCAGCCCTGAATAACTGATTTCATGTTGAGACATTATTCATTTAAAAAAAAAAAGTAGTAAAAATAAGAAGCCACAGCTGTGATACATTTTTTTTAAAAAAAAAATGTGATAAGAATGCCTAAATAAAAATATTTCACAAAAGATTTCAATTATTCCTCATGAGTTGGAACAAGAGGGGATTGGGAAGTGAGCATTCTTTGTAGGAACTCCTCTAGATTTAAGAATCCCATGCTCATTTTTTAATATTCAGGAAGCTTTTTAAAACATGGCCCTTTCTATGTGTTTTTGAGGTCAGGGATGAAGGTGGGTAGAAATACTTGAGTATACAATGAATTTCTGTTATTTGATGACGCACAATACTTTGATTTTATTTTTAGGTACGAGTGCCATTTTTTTCCTGATAATTATGTTATTGAGTACCCTTATATGTTCTTGCTTATAAACTACTTAGAGTCAAATATTTGAAGAGGCATAGAAAATTTATAATAATAAACAAACATGCATTCACTTCCATAAAAATAGTTTAAAATAAACAAAAAAGTTTAGGTAGGATTCTTGCCAAGAAACTGTTTTTTAGACATAAGAAGATGGCTTGTCCTTCTTTAACCTTTATCCACTGTAGTAACCTTCCATAACCTCATGCCCAACCGATTGTTGGTCTACAACTACCATCAACTCCAGTTAGGCTCCTTCTTAATGAGAGTTATGATTAAGTACACTTGGAGAGCTGTAGTTCCAGTGTGGTCTTTGGTCCTTTTTCAAGATTGTGTCTGCTTGTTTTCAGTACTGCCTTTTTTTGGTTTTACAGGCTTCTAAAAAAGAATATGCAGCCATTATTTTGTGGAGCACCACAACTTGGAAACAATTGCAGAGCTTACCTTTCCACAATCTGACAGTGACACAGATGTCTTTTTCCCCAAATGATAAATTCTTGCTAGCAGTTTCAAGAGATAGGAATTGGTCACTTTGGAAATCTAATCATATCACTCCAACAGAATCAGGTAAGGTTGCTGGTTGAAAATTGATGCAGCTTTTTAAACTGTTTAAAGAAAAGGGGTCTAAATCTATTTTAAAGAATTCATTTTTGTTCCTTCCTAAGATTTTTTGTGTGAATGGTATTCCTAAAAAATTGGGGTCCAAGATGTATAAAATGTTGAAGGGTTGTTTTAATTTGGCTTCAAAGCTTTGAAGTAATTCTGTTCTTACATTTCTAAAAGTGAAACAATGGCATTTCTTTGGTTTGACAGCTCATCCAGCAGTTCCAGTATCTGGAAAATCTTTTCTGTGTAATGTAGTAGTTGTGATAATACATTGCCGTATCTGGGGGGGGGGGGGGGTTATAGTGTTTGCTCTCATTGATATTAATGCATAGGAAAAATATATTGGCTTTAGGCTAATGCACTTTTTAAAAGCAGAAATATTAATTTGAATTCTGCAAATCCAATATGTTGGAATCCTTATCAGAAATTAGGTTTCATACAAAAGTGTGTTGGATCCAGTGAAGGTTGAGAGATTTGTTTAACGCATCACATTTGTGTCTGTCAAAAATGGTGTAATCGTGATGGAGTGCGTAAGGTTTTTGTGCAAATCTCTGACCATGTCACCTGACATCCACTCTGCAGAGGGAATTAAGTGAAGGTATGGCAGTGGCTTACAAGAAGGAAGAAATTGCAAGAGTGGAAGGAAGATTTACCAGTACTGAGCATCCAGCTGAAAGTGGGGAGGAGGGAGAGAGGGGCTGTGATTGTTATCTCAGTCTAGTTGCATTGGGGAAAAAATTGCCTGAAGCATCTTTCTTGCTAGCGTTTTCTAAGTAGTTTAAAAGAAGCTGAGTTAAGGCAAGAAAATAGTCTTTTTTTTCTTGAAGTTGATGAATGAGAATGGCTGTCTCATTTGAACAGTCCACTCCAGGCACCTGATAGATTCTGTTGGGTTCCAGAAGGAGCTTGGGGTTATTCCTGGAGCTCTGGTACAGACTTTACTCATCACTTGAAATGAGAGGATGATTTTTTTTCCCTAGTGCTTGGGATCTGAGTAGGGAAGAATAGGCTTCAGTTTAACGCTGATAAGACACAGTGACTGTTTGTTTTATGTTTGTTTGTTTGTTTTATTAGATTTATATACCGCCCTACTCCCGAAGGACTCAGGGCGGTGAACAGGCACAAAATAAAATACATAGATACAAAAGTTAAAAGACATAATTAAAACCAGATTAAATAATTTAGCCCGAGACAATTAAAAAATCCCAATAATTTAAAACAAATTAAAATTTCAATTTAAAAGAATTTCAAAACAGGGGAGAAAATTAGGCCAGGCCAGCTTGCTGGAATAGGAGAGTCTTAAGAGCATGGCGGAAAGTGCGCAGATCCGGGATCCTCCGTATCTCTGGGGGGAGCTTGTTCCAGATGATGGGTTTTACACTCCCTCCCCCTCCCCCAGCTCTTGAGATTTTCCATCTTAACTCTGCCTGGGAATGCACTTCCCTAGTTAGAGCTGGTGTGTAATTTGGGACTTCTCCTGGACATATGGTGCCTGCTTGAAGAGCAGGAGGCAGCTGTAGCAGGTGGGGGCATTTCTGCAGGTTTGTCTTGTGTACCACTTGCACCCATTTTGGACCAGGACAGTTTGCTCCTGGTGACTTAGTGACCTCCTGTTTGAATGACTGTTATGCACTCTGCATGGCTGCTCCTGAAGAGCATTTGGAAGCTGCAGCTGGTCCAGAATGGGCAGTTTTTGTCTCTTTTGATATGCTTCTGTAGCACCATGGTTCCCCAAGCTGCACTAGCTCTCAGTTGGCTTCTACGCCCAATTCAGAATATTGGTTACGGTACCTATGATACCTTATAGGCATAAGATCAGGCTATTTGCAGGGCCGCTTGTTCCTCATTCCTTTTGTCCACCCCACCAGTTCTAACAGGGAGGGTATGCTCTGAGTCCCTTCCATCTAATGCAGTACTGAAGTGCCACCTTGTTGGACCTTTGAATTGTGCCTTCTCTGTTGTGTCATCTCATAAAATGCTCCCTCTCCTATTTTTCCTTGAAACAACCACTCTGTGAAGGAGATTGGGTTGAGAGAGTGCATAGTTCAAAGTTACCCAATGAACTACTGTGATGATGAGTCTCCCTGTTTCTTCACTCCTAGACCATTTTAGAGAGTATTAGTGTCACAGGATTTGAGAATTTCTGCCTTAAAATATTGCATTTTGCGTTACGTGGTGAAATCAGTTCTGGCAATAGTTTGACTATTAAGTGACACCGCTGGAAACCTAGAATACTTTTATGTTAATGATATCATGATGATGATGAGCGATTGCTAAACATAATGACAACTTTATTGACCCCATTAGTGACACAGCTGCCACTTCGTTCAGATGGCGTCTGATGCTTGCTAATGTACATTCATAATGAATTACTTGATTTCTGAGTAGAATGTCTATAAAAGAGTTGGGTTCCAGAAGTATAACCCTGAAACTTTGACTGCTTTAAAGGGAAGACAGAAACTGTAGATAAATGTGCTGAAAGAACAGAATATGGCAGAATTTAATGATTCTTTCATTGATCTGTAGGGTGTCTTCAAGAACAATAGCACTCCTAAAGAAGACTGTCTTGTTTTGAGACAAGTAGAAATGAGGACAGGCAGAGCAAGAGTACAAAGCAAAAGAACACACTGTCAATAAAAGCAGAATACAAAGCCTGGCTAAGCCTACTCACCAAGCTCAAAGGAATAGTGAAGCATAAAATAGCATCTCTAATCTGAAAGCAGGGCCAGAGTTGATATGGGGATCAAAAGCCAGAGGCTGTGAGAGTATGGCTGTATCAAAACAGATATAAGAACATTAGTTGTTCTAAGTTGTGGGTTCATAAACCTTCTAAGACCACTCCGATACACTCAAGAGGCTCCCAAACAGGAGGTCCTCCCCTAAAATTTGGAATAAAGTCCTGTTACATGCGCTTCCAGGTTGGCTTAGGATCACTCACTAATACATTCACAGCCCTGGTCAACAGCCACAGTCAAATCACTTTCAACCAAACACTGAGGCACAATTGGTTCTTCGGAATATACAGAGACCCAGTGAATTTAAAATAACAGCAAAACTTTACTGCTTACAATGTACATCTTTCTCATGTCTTTCTCACACATATTCATCTACGCTTATCCATGTCCTTCTCAACAAGGCTGACAGGCACTAGACTAGCCAGAGGGATGGAAGCTGTTAGTCTGGATCCCAGGATGACTCATAGAGGGGAGGGGTCTTCAGCACCCCATTTATCTCCCAAAGTCCTTGCTTGCTTTGCTTTGTTGATTGACAAGATTGTCAGCTACTTTTGCCTTCTTGAATTACAAGTTTGGTAGCTGTTGATGGGATTTTGGGAAGGAGAGGGGTTACATGTGTGTCAGGCCCAACTACTTTTGTCTGGTGCAGGTGACAATTTTTCCTTTGTTTCTTTAACAACTTGGTTCATTCTTGAGTAACTCCCCTAAAGCATGGGTGTCAAATTCACGGCGATATGGTGCCATCACGTAATGTTTTGTGTCCCCCTTCATGGAGCTGGGGTGGGTGTGGCCTGCGCGTGACGCATCCGGGCTGGATTGACACCCCTGCCCTAAGTGATCTTTTAGACAAGATTCCAGGCCTTTGTCCACCTTGCTTACTTCATCTTTAGGTATCACAGCTTCAACCTAATCCTTATTCAAGAAGATGTGGAAAATCTTTACTTGAGAAAAGGAGAGAGATTTGAGATATGAGAACAACCTGAACTAAATATATCAGCAGTGTCCAGATGGTCATAAATGTTTTTCTGCTGCTGGCAAGCTTTGTTTTCCTAGGGTACATAATCTAAGATGCATAATCTGCATAAACACCTGGAAGCCTCTACATCATTGCAAAAGGAGGTGTCTTCCATCTGAAGGAGAAGATGGGAGGGCACCCCAACTTTAGATTTCTGATAACCTCTCATTATTTTTGAGGCGATGTGATTTTCTGGAAAGTTGCCTGCTTGCTGAAACAAGAAAGTGTATTCTCTGTTGATGTGTCATTACAGAACCAGCTTTCAGCCTCTTTGCAGCCACAGGAAAGAACATTGCTGTGCATAGTCGTATCATTTGGACCTGTGATTGGACTCCAGATAGCAATTATTTTATTACTGGAAGCAGGGACAAAAAGGTAATGCATTTCAAAGGCTGCCTTTTGGTTGTTTTTCCTCTAGTTTTATTTTAAAATTCTCATCATGTACTTCACGTAAACATATAAGAATAGCTGAGAGTGAACAACCTGGAATGCATTTTATCTTCTCCTAGCCCAATTTCCCCAGGAAATCCTCAAAATCATTTTTACAAGGCAAAAATGGATAATATGTAAATCAGCACTCGGGCTGTAAATAATTTAAAAGCTTATAGATGCAACTGTTGTTTTTGAACATTATAGTAACATTGAAATTATAGTAACATTTTGAAGAAGACACCCCAATTTTAAATATATTGTAAATGAAGTAACTATAGTCAGACACTGCTTGCTTTCTGTGACTATGTCCTTTGGCTATCTTTCATTCCTTTTAACTATTTGAACAAATATCCACAGATAACCATGTTAAGGAGTAACAACATTTTTTTTTTAAAAAGACTCAAGGTTTAGGATTGGCTGAGATTTCTTCTTAGGTGTGATTGACTTTTCTTTGATTTTTAATTAATGATTAAGCTTATTTTAGGGCTTATGCTGACAAATAGCAGGCTAGTGCTCCACTGAATTTGTTCCCAGTCAGAAAAAGCCCCAGACCACACTGGGTGTAAGCCCTCCTTATCTGATATTCTTGCCCACAAAAAATTATGCCCTTGATTTTCTTGATACCACTGCACAATGTTAACCAAAACTATTAATGCAGCATATTTTTCTTTTTAAGTGGTGGTTCAGATGTAGAAGGTTTGACAAATTCTGACTTAGTTTGCTGAAAGACTGTTAATCGTAGTTACTTCTGATCCCCCTTTCTTCATTTCTTTTGCAAAAAAAAAATTGAGGTGGGGTCAAGCATTTACTTTCCTGCTAGTCTTTTTGAGAAGAGTGTAATATGTCAGATGTTTAGCAGAAAGGTGGTGAAAAAATTGTCTAAGTGCATGAAGAGAAGTTGTGCTTGAAGTATGGAAGTGGATTTATGAAATTCAGCGTTATATAGCTAAATAGAAAGATATCTGTTCAACATTTGCTCTCAATATTGAATTATACCAATTATACCGTGTGATGTTTTTGTATAACCTGTTGATGTACTGTATATGAATTATTAGTTTATTATAACTGTGATCACTGTTGCTGTTTTTTTTGGAATCACCCAATTTAATTTAAAGACCTGGTTGAGTAACAGCACTGAATATATATTCAAGTACTTCGAGGATTCATCACCAAGTGGGCTCATGCAAACCCCTCTCTCTTTTTAGGAGAACAGTTAATTCCTCTCAATTTGCTTTATGATGGTATTGTTGGTGATTTGGTGTGTATGTGTGTATGCATGTGCTTTGTAACATCCCATTTTCAATGTGACTGATTTTTATACTTCAATCAGGTCGTGATCTGGGGTAAATGTTTAACAGAGGAGAATAAAGATAAGGATTTGGGCCTAATCCAGCCTTGTTCACCAGTCCTGGATGTTGGTGATTCGGTCACTGCAATTAGTGCTAGTCATACACTTGCTTCTGACGGGAGGTATGTATATTTTGTATTCCTGAGATTTCCTTACACATTAAGTCAGAATATTCTATATTGGTCAGCTTCCTAAAATAAAACTAGAAATCTTTACCAATTTGCACTATGCTTTCGAGTTTAATTAGCTTACTGTGCTTTTTCAGTTCATAATGGTTAAATGGCACATAATCTCTTGTAACCTTAAGCCTTATAGGAAGAGGGAGGGGCTAACATAAGTTGAGAGGGGGAAGCTTAATGCTATTTAGATATAATACTACATATATAAGGCAAGGCCATCATGATGATAACTTTATGCAAATATTTATGTACGTACTTCTATAAGGCTTGAGGGTTTTTTCCCTCTCACTAAAAACAATCCATAAATAGATGCTGACTTTTCTTTGGAATAGGCTGGATGACAGTCATGTTTCCCTCAATTTAATTTCATGAGGCCTTTGATCTTATGTTAAAAGCCTTTGGAGACAAATCCAAACCTCAGTCACAGCTCTGTGTCCCTGTCTTAACAACTAACTGCTGAGAAATGACAATAGAGGGTAGTAAAAAGAGATTGAAAAAAAGGAAAAATGTCTGAAAAAAATGGGTAGTCCCTTCCCTTGCCCCCTTATTCCTGAGATAATGTAGACTTTGACAGAAAAAGATTGCCCACACCTGTCTTAGGGTGACCAATTAATAATTTGATTAACTATATCATAACTTCTGCATCATCTGCCATTTATCTAGGTTAAGGTTTAACACAGGGGTGTCAAACTGGCGGCCCGCGGGCCAAATGCATCACATGCAGGCCACGCCCACCCCAGCTCCCTGAAGGGAAAAACATCACAATATGTCACATGATGGTAGCCTGACACCGCGAGTTTGACACCCGTGGTTTAACAAAATACCATTTTTGGGTGGGGGCTCATAGGTGCAGGCTCATAGGAAGAACTATGTCTTCCTCAATATTTATTAAGGATAATGCATGATCAAAGATGATGTCATATTTGGCAAGCAATACATTGGAAATGACTGAAGACTGAACATGATAATGATACATAACACATTTTGTTGTCTGAGTTATGCCAAGGAAAAACAGATTGACAATGGTCATCCTTCTTATAACCCTAACCCTAACCCAAACCTTTCTATTTCTCCTATTTTTTTTTCAAATTTGCAGATTCTCTGGGAATGCTTTACCTAATTATATAGTCATATAAAAATGGATACCTTAGCAAAGTTTATCTGTGTTTAATCAGGTTTATCTGCAGTATTTGCATTAGGGTGTACATATTTTGAATCAATAGACTAGGGGGTCCCAACCCGTGGTCTGTGGACCGATACCAGTCCGCGGCCTGCCAGAAACTGGGCCACTCAAACAAATGAAGCCCCATTCATGGAATGCAGGCAACACACAAAACCACACCCCCTCCGATGCGCAGAAAAATCTCTCTCTACAGAACCAGTCCCTGGTGCCAAAAAAATTGGGGGCTGCTGTGATAGACCATTCCTTCTTTGCAAAGCATGGCAAGGAAGGCATATGTGTGGAACATACTGTCTATTCCTACAAGCCCAGTTTGAGTGTCTATAGGATTTGACAGTTTATCAAGAATAAATAACCTGCTTCCTGGGGATACTAACGTGTCACTGGAAGCCTTCTTTGACCCCCATCAGGTTCCCTGCTATCCCCGACACAAAGAGCTCCAACTTAATTTCTTTTCCTCAGCATGCCTAAAATTGGATAGATATTCATAGAGAAGAATAGACATTGTGGTTAACTGCAGTCAGAATTTTGCTTAAAAACTGCTCTCTTGCAAAGAAAAAGATAAAAGAGGTGAGGTGATAGAGGGCATTTCAGGAGACATGAATGTTGGTAGGAAATAAGTTTGCCTTTGATCAATGGTTTTCTTCTTTATTTATTTATTTATTTATTTATTTATTTATTCGCATTTCTATACCGCCCTTCTCCTTTCGGACTCAGGGCGGTGAACAGCCGGATAAAAAACATCTATAACAAACATCACAATTAAAATAAGATTAAGATAATTTATAAATTTGGCTCATAATTTAAAATTTGTCAATTAAAATAAATATTAAAATTTTAAAAATTTTAAAACTAACCCTAAAATCAGGACAGACCAGCTAGTTGAAAAAAATGAGTTTTTAGGGCCCGACGAAAAATCCGGAGGTCGGAAATCACTCGTATCTCTGGGGGTAGATTGTTCCATAGGGTAGGTGCCACCACAGAGAAGGCTCTCCTCCTGGGGGTCGTCAGCCGGCATTGTCTGGCCGACGGCACCCTGAGGAGACCCTCTCTGTGGGAGCGAACCGGCCGGTGGGAGGCTATTGGTGGCAGAAGGCGGTCCCGTAAGTACCCTGGCCCTAAGCCATGGAGCGCTTTAAAGGTAATCACCAACACCTTGAAGCGCACCCGGAAGTCCACCGGAAGCCAATGCAGCTCGCGCAGGAGAGGAGTCACATGGGAGCGCCCCGTCGCTCCCATAATCCCCCGCGCAGCCGCATTCTGCACCAGTTGGAGCCTCCGAGTGCACCCCAAGGGGAGCCCCATGTAGAGAGCGTTACAATAGTCCAGACGAGAAGTGACGAGTGCTTGAGTGCTTTGGCTGACTATAACAGTTGTCTGTGGATGTGCAAGCCAACCTGCCAAAGTCATAGGGGTTCCCTGTGGCAAGGTTGACTGATGCAAAGAAGCAAGAAGTTTCTTTGGTAATCTCTTTTATGCCTCATAGTTTGGGCATGCTTTCTTGAGAAAGAAGCGGTGATTAAAAAGTGGGACATCTTTCAAAATTTAAGTATGCTATATATGACAGAAGCAAAATACTTGCTTTAACACCTGACACACCTATTTCTTTTCTGTAGCTTCATAATTGCCATTGGGACAGAATGTGGGAAGATTCATTTGTACAAATGGAAGCCAGGCAATAAAAAGTTGCCACTTTCCGATTGGTGCAACTGTGTTGAGACGGATGACAGGTGAGTTACTATATTTGTCTTATGTTTGTAAGTAGTATAAACAGATTTTATCAGTTTCCAGGATGTAGATTAAATTAGAACAGGGAAGCACTTTGAAACCTTCTGGAAATTTGTATTTCAGTCGCCATAATCCCTTGGCACTGTCTGTGTTGAGTACGAGTGATGGGATTTGGGCCAGAATATTCAAATGGCATCAGATTGCTTATTTTTCAATGAAAAAGTTAATGCATATTCAAAAAAAAAAAATGCAAATATATAACAAATATTCAGAATCTTCTTAGTGCCATGCAATTGATAAACAGAGCATCGACTGAATTTTTATTTTGTATAAAGATTTGAAATATTGTGTGTTTGCATAAGATGAATTCTCCACGCACTGCAGCCCTTCTTTGCCCTCCCAAAGCCTCTCTGAGAGATTGGGGTCCACAAGATGGCTTTGAGGAAGGGTAAAGGGTTGAAGTGGGAGTAGAGCATCACGACAAATAATGGATTGAGATAACTTGTGTCAAGCAAGCCAAATTTCCTCTTCCAAATCAGTGTTATCTCATTCGTTTTTGCTTTCCCTCCCTGTTCTCAGATTTGTTCACGTGCACTTCGACTTCAGGAGGAAAGAGCCAGTAGCAGAATATGTAGGGATGTAATTCCAGATAACAGACTGAATGAGTTCATGTCTCGGTCTCTGTATGGCTGCTCTTGGCCCTTTCCCATTCATGTTTCAAGTATCATTTCCTTGAATGGCATATCAAGCTCACCTAGAATCTTTTGCCTTTCTCTGTGGTTTCTTTTTCCCATTTATATTCTCCTTAACATTTTTTTAAAGTTATCTTATTTAAAGGTAATATTGGTAATATATTATAAAAGTTTAATTTTGGTCAGATTTAGATCAAATAATTGTTGGCCCCATGGTTCTATTGTACTGAATTTTGTGTGTGTGATAATGTGACTAAGTTAAAGTTGATCAAAATTATACAGTAATATGTCACAGTTTTGTAATGGTTGTAATCTCTGCACATGGACTTTATGATATAGGCACTTGCAACGTAGCTAATTCTTGGGAATTCATTTACCCAACTTCATATGCCCATATATTTATCATGAAGTAAGGAGAGACAGCTCGAGTAGTGCAGCAGGGGTCAGAGAGTTCTTTTTTTTCTACCAAGAGGGCTACCATCCCAGATTCCTACACAGCAGGTTGAAGACTGCAAGCAGCTGATGATCTCTGTTTTCCCTGGTGTGCTTCTCAGCCCTGGAAAAGAGCAAAGAGAGAATTAATAACTCTCGTTCTTTATATAGCACTGTAGGGAATTCAAAGTGCCTCATGTTACGTTATCTTATTGTAATCCTTTCAGCTATCCTGTAAAATAGGTCAGTATCTTTTCCATATGATTCTTGTATTACAGATGATGGGCAGAGAGAGAAGAAGGAAAGCAAGAAACTAGTTTTAGATTGCCCAACAGAAGATGGCAGAGATGAGGTCTTAATTGGATCTGGAGGCTTCTTGAATTGTGGCCCATTCTCTGAGTTAACTTCATTAGTCTGCGCCAAATGCAAGAAATTCTGTTACAACTTGGCTTTATATATTCACAGTTCTTTTAATCAGTACTTTTTTGAGGCCTTACCTTTCTTTGAATTAGTAATCAGGATTTCTGTTCAGATTCTTGAAACTTCAGATTAAACATAGACCTAGATTTGGTTTGACTCTTATGTGATTTTAAGTTATGTGCCTTTTGAGCTCTGGGCTGTAACTGGAGCTGTAGAGCAGGGCTGTAAAAGCCTGATGAGACTTTAAATGTTTGAATTTCTCAGTATGCCATTAACATTTTCATTCATTTAAGTAGGCTCAAATGGCTTACTTGGTGTACCAGAACATCTGTTTCCCTTGTTCCTCCTTCAAGTTGTTTGCCTAGTTTCACGTACATACCATATCATAGTGAGTCCATTTGGGCACCTTCAAGATGAACAACAATATCAAATAATAAAAATCCCAATAATTATTATTATAAAAATACAGTAATAAACATTCCATGCTGTAATAGCTAAGTTTTATATAGTTTGGTTGGCACAATGTAAATTCTCTACATAAATACCAAGTCTAATTTACTGAATCTGCACTGCATTCTATAATAGTGCAAAGTTACAGGGTTTTAATTCTAGCCACCTAATTCTGGGATACATTTAGCTACCCTAGACAAGACCGAACTAAATTTAATACTTATTTTTAATTGTTTTTCTTTGAGGGAGTTCATATGGGTGAGGAATTTGTGAATAAAATTATTGCTTATGTTTTTCATACAGGTTTCTGGTTACTGTTATTTTTATTTGTTCAAATTTGTCTCATGATCTTTTAGCCATTGGAAGAATTCCTAGAAAGTTGTGAAGTGTAGACCCTCTCCAGATTTTTATCATTATTTGTAGTGGCATTTGGATGCGCAGCATGGGGTCAGCTTGCCTTCAGGTCACAATTTGGAACTATGTTTTTAAAATACATTTAAAAGCAGTGGTTTAAAAGCAAGATAAAATCTACAGGCTTTTACAGCCATAAAAATCTATAGACCTAATGGCAAATTTGATCAATGAAAACCATGGGGGAATGGAAAAGTTAACCTCTGAATCCAGAAAGAAAGAGCACACAAGCCTGCAAGGGAATTCCTGACCATAATTTAGCATTGCATCTAAATCAGGCACTTACTTCAAGCTGCTTATAGTCTGACTCTTTTTTGGGGGGGGTGGGGGGTGGGAAATTTCCAGTATGATTCTTAGCTTCCTGGGTAGCAGTATCTTTCTTAATATTGATGCTTGACCTGAAATTGCAGTGAAAGTAAGTAGATTGCTGCTTGAATTATTAATGGGATGAAGTGAAGAAATGTCACTTGCACTGATAATAGCTCTGGCATCTTTAATACCTACAGGCAGTGACAAGTTTAGTTTTTCCATTCTGGCAGTGCAGCAAAGGAACACGCTAATTAGGTAAATGCTGATGTTTTGAATTGACAAAGTCCAGCTGAGTTTGACATTTGGTAATTATGAGAGATGAGTTGAGTTTCCTTCTACTAATAGCTTCTGTCTTTGTTGCAGCCAAAGCCATACCCTTGCTGTCAAACGACTGCAGTGGAGAAAGCGTGTGGGCAGAGCGGGGCAGGACACAGCCGAGAGCAGCAAGTGGCTGCAGCTGGTGAGCTGCGGGGCGGATCACTGTGTGAAGATCTTCAGTATCAATCGGCACAGCCTTTAAATGATGACTTTGAGGCAGACCTACTCTACTTGCCTACCAGCCATTTCCTGAACTGATTTTCTTAAAAGAAGCAAAAATTGGACTTCCAGCTCTTAGAGCAATGCAATCTGACACCAGTATAAACTGAACTTACATACTGAAGCAGTTTGAGAAGTAATATATGGGCATAATGCTTCTGTACAAACAAGTTTTTATTGTATGCTTAGCAATGGCCATTTGTCATAGAAGGTCCCTCTGAGCCAAGTCCTCTGTAATCCATATACACCTAGAACGGATATCAAACTGGGAGAAAGGGAATTATGTTTCTTGCTTCCCTCTCATTTGTAAAAACACACTGTATTTCTGCTTAAACTTGCAGAATGGTTGTTTTCACAATAGAGTGCAGGGACTCCATTTTGAAGTCCATTTTTGTATCTTCCAGAATGGTTGATGGGTGATTGCAGTAAAGATCCTTGGTTTTGCAGCGTGCAGACTAGGGAAATTTGGGGATGGCGGTTAGGGAGAATTGGGGAGTGGATACTAGCAGATTGCAACATTTGTTTCCTTGGGTTACAATGGAAGGGAGAAGAAGCGGGAGAATAAACACTGGTTCCTCCAAAGAAATCAGAAATGATCCAAACGTGAAAGAAAGAATAAGCGGTATGACAGTGAACAGAGGTGCCCATGGAAGGCAGAAAAAGGATGAAGGTCGCACAAATGGTCTTGGCGGCATAAATTTCTGATACCATAAATGTCCTTAAAGACATTTTGTCCACAAAGAAGTACAAATGATGGAAGAAATAAAAGGAAGAAATGAGAGATCCAGGTAAAACTCATGTGCCTGGAATGAAGAGACCAGAGGATAGACCTGACTGGAATTGGTACAGCAGGAACTTGAACTGAAAGGAGAAGCAAGCATTGCAGAGGACCCTCTGCTGGTGGCTCCTGTGCTGGCCATCTATGGCTGCTCTAAAGGACCAGCTGAAGAGGGCAACATGAGGAAATTTGCAACTCTGTATAGAAGAGGCAGGGAGGGCAGGAATAAGACCTTGTCTTAAATCAGAATATGTGTCTTCCTTCATTAAAGGGCCATAGTGGGACTAGGGTACTGAAGGGGGAAATCTTGAGAGTGTACATTGGATAAAGTGATGAAGGGCTGTTAGATGAATGTAATAGCAATTGGTTAATACAAAGAGTATATTGAATGGAAGCTTATTTGAGACAGTATGGGAGGTTTTGAGAAGCCTCAGGGTATGTGGATGCTGAGGGGCAAATTCCCTCAGTGTCAGAATGTAAAATGTGTGTGTGTGTGTGTGTGTGTGTGTGTGTATTCTGGTTGTTCCAGAAGGGAAATCTGCAGTCTTTGATTCTAGCTGCTTACGTCCAAAACATAAGAGGCCTAGCCCAAAGTATTGTGGCCAAAACCTGGCTCACTTAAAACAACAAAATCACTCTGAAGATACATTATTTTACTGAAGATGAATGTATGGTGGAGGTTTTTTAATAGAAATTTTATTAAACTAGTACAATGATAAAAAGCTAATGCAAACTAAAAACAGTGCAAGAAAGAATGTAGAAGAAAAAAGAACATCGTGTATAAAAAAGAAAAGGAAATGTCAAAGAAATGACTTCCCTCTTCATATTTTCTTTAAAAAAGCAGCCATTTGATTCAAAGAAAAATCCCAGGAGCCTAGAGGAAAGGATTTAGATGTTCTGAGATTTCTCTTGCTATGATGATCACTTTTTAAACGCTTGAGTAATCCTTACTTTTAAAAAATTTCCTGCAGTCATCATCATCAGTAGCTATGGGTGGTGTCTGATGCTAGACTGCCTTAGGATCCCACGTACATCAGTTTAGTCTCAATCATGAGGAAAGCAGCTAGCAACGTCTTCTTTCCTGCAGACACTTGACTGCATGATTCTGGAGTCAGAGAGGATTTAGTTGCCTTTCTATTGTGCTGGGACACTTTGTCCTTCTTAAAGAGAGTCTGGTCTGTTGCTTATTTGGAAAACCATGTTGAAATTGTTGACTTTGTTAATCAGAAAGGGTACCTAATTTGATATTAATGTGCAGTGTAGAATAAGTACTGCAGTAGGAATCCAGTCTAAATTATTTTTATTCAGACTGCAGCAAACATATTTGGTTCTATGCTGGGCATTTTCTGCGTAGAGCTGAAAATTTGATCAGCTTCAAGTACTTTTCCTTGGTGTAGCTGTTTGAGTATTATTTCTATTGGAAACAAAGGTATGTTTTAAGAATGTTCTCATATCAGATCAGAGGAATGAACTACTCACTGAGAGAATTTATTTTTTATTTTTTCCTCTTCAAACCACAGGGTCTCTAGTTAAATCTCTTCATGCAGAAACCTTGGAGGCTCACAGTCAATCAAATTGGTAGTACCTGGTCAGAATTATTAAGATGTCATTCTCTTCCAGATTCTTTATTAAACTGATTATGAAACAACAGACTCCATTTTTATGAGTCTGTGTTTGAAAAAGGAATAGAAGCAGGGGTGGAGTATCATAGCCAGTATGTCAGACACTTAATTAATTATTATGTTTCAAGGCCTTTGATTTTTGTGCAGTACCCTATTACAAATTATTGACTTGCTCAGTTCGTGTTTAGGATCAGTATTCCTATTTATTCAATCTTTCTAGTTCCCAAATATAATACGTGATTAAGCAAATGGCTCTTTTCAGTCCAGGACTAGCAAGTGATAACTATTAAAACCATAAAATGCTGAAGGAGATTGGATAATACATACTCTTTATGTCAGTACTGGGGGAAATGATCAGTTCTTTCCAAGAATCAATTCTGTCGTAAACATGCACTGGTACAGAAGCGTTTTGTATTCTACATATAATTTAAGAGTCCATTTGTGTATAATTTGACTTTATTTTTTTCCCAGAAATTGGCTCGATTCTCAACTAGACACAAGCTCAGATTAAACCTTCCCCAATAATGACTTAATAGTGCATTAACCGAACAAAAACCATGGCTATCTCCAAATTCCAGCACCGTTCCTCACTAAGACCTCTTATTTTCCTTGTTCAAAAGGTAAAGGTAAAGGAGTCCCTGCAGATTTTACTCTGCTAGTTGTTGTTGACTTTAGGGGGCAGTGCTCATCTCTGTTTCTTTCTTGTTCAAAGTGATGATCTAAATATGAATAGTGTTTATATCAAGTTCATCACTTAGTGAGATTAGAGTTTCTTATATGAAGTAGTCATAGAACAAAACATATTTTAAAAAGCCAAGTGCAAGGAAGCAGTAAAAATCTATTTATGAAATGGAGATGGATTGGATATTGAAGCAACGATTGCGAAAAGCTTTGAAAGGAAGCATTTTTAGAGGCTTCACTGATGTCACAACTAACGTCTGAAATCCTATATGAGTGTTCTTTAAATAGGTTCTTTCTTTCATCTTATATTGGAAATTTGAAATGTTGAATACATAGCAGTGAATGTTATTAGAGCTTCATGTGAATCTTACTGATATATAAAGGGAATGTGACTGAACAAGTAATGCCAAAGCTTGGTATTTCTTATATATATATATAAAAGCATTCAATATGTGAAAAAGTAATTGTCCCTCTGTTCAATCAAGTCAACTGAAGCAAAAAGCAGGACCAGTTGTTTTAGTATTTTGCTAAAAAGTGTAGATTTGCACATGTATCATCTCTCTTGCGGGAGCTGCATTTGTTTCCAATCTGCTTCCAGGTCCAATTCGAGGTAATGGTTACGATCTTTAAACCCTACATGGTTTGGATCCAGGTTATATGAAGGACTGTCTTTTCAGTTACATCTACCCAACCCACCAGAGAGGGGAGATAGGGTATATTATCACTACCCCCATTAAGTAGCTCTAATGAATGCTATGATGGCAAGCCTTTTGGGCTTTGGGAGGTCAAAAATTCAGAAAACACCTTGACTCTGATGGCTTGTCATGAAACACCTCAATTGAGATGATTCTCTGGATTTCCTCTCTGGAGTCTCATGTGGAAGTTGCGTGTGAGACCCTGCTCTTATGAGGCCTCTGAAGCCTTTGAAAATCAACCAAGAATGCTTGCATGATTTTTGGATGCCTCAAACTGCACAAGAGCAAGGCCTTCTTGTGCAACATCCAGGGGGTCTGTAGGTCTAGTGTGTCACCAAAAATGATGTGGCATTGTCACCTGACATAGGTTTGCTATCACCAATTTAATGGGACCAAGAAGGGCTTTCTCAGTGGTGATTCCTTCCCTGGGCAACATCATGGCCACAGAGATAAGACTGGCCTTCACCTTGATGCCCTTTTGAAAGGCGCTGAACATAGTTTTGTCATTGGGCCTGGGGACTCCAAGATGATATGCAATACATCAAGTGTCTTGTCTTGTCCCTGGGGAGTGGAGCATTTATTGGGTTTTATTTCTGTAAGCTACCTGGAATCACCATGAGTTGAGTGACCATATATATTTTCTTAATAAACTAATTTGGGCTAGCCCTGCCCTGAATAAATCTCTCAGATTTTATCTCCCTTCACCATTAAACCAATTCTACAGGTATTTCAAGTCCCTTAATGAGATCATTGGTACCTATCAAGATGGAAAAAGATTACAAAGCCATTTCTGATTTGAAATGAAGATTTGGGGCAATACAGGTAGTCCTCGCTTAAAGCCTGCCCTGTTTAGAACCATTCAAAGTTACATTTGCACTAACATTATGACCAATCTTCACACTTATGACCATTGCAGCATCCATATGTTCACAGGATTAAAATTTGGACAGTTTGCAACCGACAGGTGTTTATGACTGTTGCTGTGTCCCAATCATATGATCACCATTTAAACATTTCACAGCCAGCTTCCAACAGACTCAATGGAGACATTGGCCAATCATGGTCATGTAAGATCTCGTCTACTGACTGCAGTTAACGGCAGTAGAATTGATGTAGTGAATCATACAGCAAGTAATAATTTTACAGATATAAGCAAATCCATAAGAGAATGATGAACAAGAAAATTGTTTTAGAGTGGCCAAGTCAAAGATATTAGACTGAAACAAGCAATTCAAGTTAGAAACCTGTCAAAGTATTCTTGGGTTGAAGCTGTTCACCATGAAGGAATGAACCAAGATTCCTACACAGGGATATGAGAGAGTGATATTTAGTTGCAGATATTGCAGCTAAACATGGTGAAAGATGAATCTTGAGGTGCATACAGGTAATCCTCATTCAGCAACTGCCTAATTTAGACACTATTTGCAATTATGACGGTGATGAAAAAATAACTTTATGACCAAGCCTCGCATTTATTTTGCAGATCTTTAAAGCAAAGGCAAGCAGAAACTCATAGTCACAGTTGCAGTTTCACTTTGGCTATTTCACTTAATGACTGAGTTGCTGGTCCCAGTTGTGGTTGCTAAATGAAGACTACCTGATGTTCGTATTTGTTTCATTTTTTTTCAACTGATAACAAGTGCAAGGTTTAATCCAGGATTTTAAAGATCACATACAACAAGGTTGAGCAGTGAGTATACACATAGGTGCATGCAGGTGTGTATGCACATACACACACATGAGAATAAATCCAATATAGTATATGGAAGATGAAAAATATCAAGTCTTTTCTTCATCCTAGGGAGACGATTCTGCTCTTTCACTATTAAAGAAATTGATTTAGTGGATTAGAATTCACACAATAAATCTGAGAGTAGGATTAATCCCGGAGAGTTATAGTGCTTTTTGCTTTTTTGCCCAGTGATTGCAATATCTTCCAATATTGTCTTCTATTGTCTCAGGAACTTTGAGACTGGATGAGAATTTAAGCCCTCATCAATAGCCTTGGTTGACTTTGCTGTCTTGGTGCTTTTAGTAGCGATGCTGGAGTGATGATCATTTTCCCCTAACCTAGCTATGATTAACTAAACTGGACTCCTGAGGACTCTGCAAACTAATCCTTGAATATCTATAATATCTGTGTTGTCCATGTGGTATGTCATTTTAACAGGGATAAAAATACAGGGACACCAATGGCTCACTTCTTACATATTAGTCATCACAATGTGGTTTTAACAAGGATGAAGACAAATATAAATCTTCTTGTGCAAAATACATAAATGAACCAGAGAGTGTTTTTTCATACCCCTAAAACTGAATTATCTGAAAACATAAAAGGTAATGTTCTATATTTTTGACTTGTCTCCAAGGAATGCCTATGGGTATGCGCACACACAAAATGCCCAGTATTTCATAAAGATTTCCAATACAGTAGTTGGCTTATATTTCTTGTGTTTGTTCCTGTGTTCATTTGTTATATATTGAATTTATCACTCTAGAAGTTCAGCTATAGGAAGATAAACAAGTAGAAACTGATATAAATTCCATAACATCTGGCACAAATCCAGTCAAATCCAGTTTGGAAATATACAAAGTTTCCTCTGTGGTACATTATGAACATTAAAATAAAATAACGTAACATAAAGCTGTATATTAAAATTCAGCAAATAAATCACCAAGTAGTAATTATGTTTTCTCTATTTTATTAATAAAACAGATTTTTTTTGCAACAATTTATTAAAAATTTATTTTCATGCAGTATAAGGGGTATACAAGAAATTCTCCAAGTTCTCTCACTCTTCCTCTCTGTTGCTTCTTAAAAAATAATTCTTACTGGTCCAGTCTGGGTTGAAGCATTTGTGCACTGTCGTTGTTGGAAAATGCCATTGGGGCATAGCCTCATCATAATTTTTTACAGGACATTTTTGCTGCAGGATATTTAAAAAAACCCAGAAACATTGAATAGCTATAGTCATTTTATGGGTCTTATTTTCTGCAGGAAATTAGAAAAGAAAAGAAAACTTGTGGGAGAAACTACAGTTGCATTTTAGACAAAGAATGTACTGCGTGATTTAAACCTAAGAAACAGCACACAGTCAGTAGTCACAAAGAGTTACAGACACACACACTCACCGCCAAGAGTCCAATACTTTTGATTTTTTTTGTTTTGTTTCCTGCTATGTTGGAATAATATCTTCTACAGAAATGTTTGTGTATACATTATATACAGTATTATTGTCCTTTTTTGAAAAGTAATATTTATTTGTATTAAATAAAGTCCTGATGAAGTTTATTCATACATTAAGAGAATACTGTTAACATACATACATGCATGCACGCGCACAAGTGCGTGCACGCATGTGCACACCCACACCAGACAACACCTTCAGTGGTTAGTGCTCAAACGGAGTAATGTGTTCTACTTCCTTTGTGGTAAATTTACTCACTGTGGTTCTAACCCTTCCAGATCCCCTCCTGACCTCTCCGTGATGTGTGTTCAGGGAACATTTCTGTGATACCTTCAAGGGATTAAGATTCATGGGAAATATAATCAGGCAAGTAGGATCAGCGGCATCGGCAATGACTGGGTTGGCATATCTCTCTCTTGTGCAGATACTAAACGCTATTCTGGGGACATTTGTGGAACAGGTTCATTCCTGTGTGGGGACAGAAAGTGCAATAGAAATAAAACTACCTCTTCTTCACCATACCTTCTTTTACAAGCTATAATTAATGTATGATTTTCAAAAGGTGGCCAGCTCCAATGTTGAGCAGTGCAGTTTGGCAAAGTGGTATCCGTTATAGTGTGAGAATGGTGTTTAAGGAAAAATAAAAGTGATATGACAGGCTTTGTTTGTTTGTTTGTTTTTTCTTGTCTGGCTAATAGTTTAGGTCCAGTGCCAGATTTTATTTTTATTTTGCTATTTTAACAGCAATACAAAATAGTCTGAATCAATACGTTACTGGGATGCAGGAAGAACAGGGTTTTTTTGTTTGTTTGTGGGGAAAGGTATTTTGCCTGTCTTCTGCAACGATCAGGCTCTGAAGTGTGCTTTCGTGTCTCTCACATGGTAGGCACATCTTTATCACAGCATGCATTGGGATTTAAGCTTGCTCAACATCCTGACAGACTGTGTGATTCATGTCTTCCCAAACGATACACATATTTCAACTGGTGGAACTATACAATATGTCACAAGGAGCTCCACTAGTTAAAAACAAAATCAACAAGCCTAAAGGCATGAAAAAGCATAGACTTAAGCTTTCACTCGAACATCCTAGGATGCAGTAAGACAAGGGCAATCTTAACTCTTGTATTTAAGCCTCTCCCATACTGAATGCGCAACCTGCAGCAGTGAAGGTATTGTGGCCCAGAACTACATAGCAATTGGAAATTCATCCAATGTAGCATTTCTCAGGTGTTTGGTCAGGAAAGAAATGCATCTGAAGTTCTCCGTGCCATGCAATTGTAAAGGACCCGGAGCCTCTCTTTGGATTATGCATGCCCAGTAATCTTAATCCTAGCGAGATGTCCTAGAACCACTAGGATACAAGCAGCACATGTGTGGATCAAATCTTAACAGTAAGTTTATGGAAGCCCATTTCATTTGAGTTCTCTCATGTTGCATTCTAATTAATAGCAGATTCAGTTGCTCCCAGGAAGGAAATAGATTAAATCTATTCTCTTAGGTGGAATTTACAAGCGAGAAAAACCATTTTGCTTCAAATTACTGTACACCATAGTTGTGATTTTGTCTTTTTTAAACTCAAATCCCAAAGGGTATGTTTGAACTGACAAACTTGGTTCAGCCTACCTTATTCTCAATGACCACTGTTTCTCACACACACCGATGTGAAGCCAAGGTGGCGTCTGTATGATCTCTGTTTCTGCAGAAGTCAACTGCAGCAGCAAAGTGTGGTGCCTAAGGACCCTACTCCTTTTGTTCCTCTGCTCAATTACCTGTACTATTAATTATGCTGTGGTTTAAATCAAGCAAATTCATGGAGAAAAATCCACCTTATGATATGAAGATTTCGGTAGCAATCCTCAGCCTTAAGCACTGTCTAGACCTAGTTTTCTGCTATTTGAAGAAAGTCACCCCAGGATTCAACCGAGCACAATGTCTTAACAGGAGAAAGAGTATCACTCCCCAAAATTGGGATGCCTGCCGTAGCCACTCTAAAATCTTGGCCTTGGATTTGCTTCCCCCCAAAGCATTTTCTGCTCCAAGAATATCTTTAGTTGAATGATCTGGACTGCGTGCAAATCTCAGTGATGCTGGAACTATTCCTAAAAGTCTCCTCTTCCTCACTGAGTTTAGTTCCAGGAATTAAGGTCAGTCCAATTAACTATGGTCTCCAGAAGCTGAATGCAATCCCTCATACGGTATACATCTCAGTAACTTCAGCGCTCTTTTGATGAGATTTTTCTTCTTCTCACGTTTCACATTTTCAGTAGCAGTATAAAGCTTAGTGATGCTGCAGTGGGGTCTGTTGTATTATTATTATTTTTTGGTCAAGTTTAGGTTTCTTAGCCACCTTGCCTCCTATAGAAATTTGGGAAGAAACATGGTTTTGGTGACTGTCTTTGCAAAGAAATAAAAATGTCCACAAGTAAGGCTACAGATCAACCTCTGCCTAACCTCTCCGCTTTACATGCTTTTTCCCAGCAGCGGAGTTGGCCCTCCCTTTTAAATGGCCTTATAGCACTAGTTTCTCTGTGGTAAGAGTAAGGATATGTAGAAGGCAAGAGTTCGACACAAGACGTTCAGTCCAGCCATTGAGTCCAAAAGCAGTTCAGGGAGCTCTGATGTCCTCTTACAGGCCAGAGACCATCACGCGAAAAGATGGTGGCACATGTCTGTGCCGTGGACTGGCACTGGGGCTGACACATGGACTGGCACAGCTGGCATCAACTCCTCCGATAGATGGCAAATAAGCGTGATGAAGAATGGGCAGCTGTAAGGAGAGTCGTCGCTGTATGCTGTGAAGAAAGAACACAGAAAGATAAGGACATTTAGCCAGGTATTCAGTACTGTCAAGGGCTGCTAGCAAAGGGCCCCTCACTTTAGGATGCATCCACTAGGAACTATACTAGCACCTCAAATGATTCTGTAGCCAGTTTGGTAAACCTAGGATAATGAGCAGAACATCGGTGGTGGATGAAGAGCCGTGGTAGTGCAGTGGTTAGAATGCAGTACTGCAGGCTACTTCTGCTGCCTGCCGGCTGCCTGCAATTTTACTTTTATCGTTTTTATTTTTTTATTATATAAAATACTAAGAAAAAAAGAAAATAGGAAATTAAGGGATTGAAATGGAATGGGGGAAAGGGAGTGTGATATAAATATCCTTTTTAACATATAGAGTTTTTCTTTAAACTAATACATCATTTTCTTTAACCTTCTCTTAATATAGGTACTCTCAAATACATTTTCAATAGCTTTTGCCTTGTTTAAGAGTTACTTAAGCATTATATATATGTAAAAAAATACATTTTCAAATTTTGGGTTAAACCTTTCTTTCAGTTGCACATATCAAGCAGAGAAAAATGCATCCTGATTCCAGTTAACTCATTAAGTTTAGGTCACTCCTTCCAGTTTATCTTCATGGAGTAAAGTCTTTTTCTTCTCTTGAAGTATTAAACACTTGTAGGCCTTTCTTTTTATCTTTATTTCAAAGAATTTTTGAGGAACATGTTTTGTATAATTTAAATTTAAAATACTTTTAATTCTAGCAAGAAATATCTAGCAAGAAATAATTACTTTACTTACTGTTCTGGGGAGTTGATATCTTCTATAAAATCTTTGCTTGTTCTGGACGACTCTGTAGTATTCCATTGTGCTTGTGGATTTTGATCAAGATGATTTTTCAACACTGTTTTTTCACCATCTGGATAAAAAAAATATTTTCAGACTTTTATTTACAGAGCATTATGATGCATTTTTCTATACAGTACATTATTTGCAAAACAATGTAATTATTTTACAAACTACAATATTGTTTCTCAAAATTATTTATTTGATCTAAAATCTATCTCCAACTGGACAATAATTTTTGTGGTATTACAAAATACTAATATTTCTTATTCAGATTGAAACAAATTAGATAAGAAAGAAGAAATTTGTCCTCCAAAACTAGCATTTACAACACATATACACATGTGCGCATACAAAATCAGCGATCTAAAATTAGAATTATAAATAAACTCAGTTGAACTGAAGAAACTTCTTGGATGACAAGCGAAATATTTTCAAGGAAAAAAAAAACAAGAAAGCACGTTTGCCTTTTGAAAAGCATCTTTCGGACAACCATGATCTGGATAATTGAGAATCACCATAAATGAAAACATTGAACTTCACTGCCCCAGTATTAAAGTTAGGTTTATTAAAGATCTTCATATTTTAATTCATAAATTCATTCCTTTGTGTTATATAGGAGAGGAATGAAGTGTTCGGTCTCATTACTTTCTCCTCTTCATATTAGATCAGGATCTGGATTAGGGAGCAATATATGAGAACTTTAGAATGGTGACTAATAAAATAGAAGATTAGAACTGAGTTATGCAGATCAATGTGGATTATGTTCCATGAATGGGAAAGAGATCAAGATTAAAAAAATCTCTGTACTATTGCCTTTGTAGGCTGCTTGGGTAAAACTGTATTAATAAGGTTTCCTACAAAGTTTCACTGACATTTATTATGCAAAATAATGCCATCATAGCATAGTGCTGGCTCTTGTTCTGCTTTACCACATAAGGGACACATGGGACCAATGCCTTTTATATAACCAAATCTTTATTGGGCTTTGTACATTCCATACCTTTGCTTTCTGTAAAATTGCGTATACTGAGAATATCATTGAGCTCTTGATAGTGGTTCTGTTTAATATATGTTGTTTTTTCAGGTGTGTCCTGAAGCTGCATTGTGACTTCTTCTAGAGCTTTGTCCAACTGTTAAAAGAAAAGCATGTTATAAAAATATGAAAACATTTATTATCCTTCATTCTTTTTTCGTCCTACTTTTTATGGACACCAGCTTTGTGAAGTATTTTTATTTTAACTATGCATAAAGGTACACATATAAAGAACTTAAACTACAGTACTATTATTCATCTGTGGAGACATCTATAGATAATGAATCATAAAAAATCCTTTCTTGATTGCTAGTTGTGTGTGTGTGTGTACAAAATCTCCTTCCTATTTCATTGCTGTTCCTTTGCAGAGGTTTCCTGTAAATATGATAGAATGTACCCACATTTTAAAAAAGACACACCAGTTTTGCCTATAAATGGATATCTTGTAATCTGATCATGCATTTGACTAACCACAAATACTAAGCTTCTTACATATATCAAACCAGTTCTCAGTTTGATGAATAACAGAATAATACAATAGAAATGGTAATGTAAGGTGAAGTGGTCATGGTAAGGACTACTTGTTTTAATTTCATTTCTCATGTGTCATTCCATATCACATGTTAAGATTAGACCTTGTTAAATTGTTATAGATGGGTGCTTAGTTTAGGGTCTATGAATTTTGACAGCTGCTACAGGCACCTTTGGGAAACTTCTTTCCTCTAATTCTTCTCATTCTTCCAAGGGTAGACAGTAGTGCAGTCCTAAAGGTGTTGGTAGGTATATAATGGCATTGTGAAAAATCTGGAAAAACATTCTTTGGTGTTTGTTGGTGGCTGTTATCAAATGGGTAGTTAAGGAGATCATTCTATTTAAAAAAGTGTCCTTGAAATCAAATGAAAAGGAGAACTTCGCACTAACATCTCTCCATCTTTTTAAAAAAAAATTAAACTTTTTATTTTTCAATATAATAATTCCATCTTCAATTAAACTGTGTCATCTGGGTACAGATAACTTTATACAGTAATAGTCAAAATTTACAGCAATATTCATTACTTTAACATTAATTCTATAGTATTAAAATGATAATATTAAACATAATAATCATAATATTCGCTTCTCTCTCTTAACATATCTTCTTTATTTCACTAATCTTGGTTAAAATGGTCTTTTGTTTCCCTGCTTCTAACATCCATTTTTATTGTCTAACCATTGATAAAATAAGTCCCATGTCATGTAATATTCAGTTTGTTCTTTTTCCTTGATTGCTAGCATTAGTCTATTCATTTCTGTACATTCTAATATTTTCCTAATCACATTTTCATCTGTGGGAATCTCCTCACTTTTCTAATTTTGTGCAAATACAATTCTAGCTGCAGTTAATGTATGAATAATTAAATATGCATTCTCATTATATTTCTCAGGTAAATTCCCCAAGAAGAATATTTCTGGCTTTAAGTCAATGTGCATCTGTCCATCTTGACATTCCATTTGTTTCCCCAAGTACTGTAGATTGTTTAATGCAAGAAATATAGAGTAAAATTTATAAGGATAAATGCTAGTATTTTGTTCCTTGGAAAACATTCTCAGATAAATCTTTGATCATTAAAGATAGCTGATGAGGTGTTTCCTACAACTTCTCAAGTCATCCAGCTGATTCACAGCCTTAAGCCTTCTAATGTTTTTATACCTGAAGAGTGAAGTGGCCCTTGCTTCAATTAACTTTGTAATGTGATTGTAAAACCTAAATTAGCTGAGATGTTCAACCTTCGAATGCTTGTTCTCAGCTTTCTGTTACAAATGAATTAATAAGTAACAAGAACCATCATATTAATTTAAGCAATGCAAAAGAAACTGAAGTGTATTTAAACCTCTCATGCAAAATCACTTTAAGATTTGAATTTTCTAGCATGACTGAATTCCATCACTCTCCACATTTCCAGTAAAAATAATAATCAAGGTAGCTCAGAGTAAACCATAGATAAATCAAGAGTTAAAATTAAAACATTAAAATTCTCTAAATTAAAACAAAAATAGGCAATAGCCCATCAAATTAAAACCTAATGCACTTCAGCAGAAAGTTAGCAGATACTAAACTATTAAAAAAAACACCCATGTTTTCTTGGTGGAAGGAGGTTTCTCTCGGTAGATATTTCCAAAGGGTGGGAACAATCACCAATAATGGCTTATGATTATGAATTGTGATTTATGTCATGAGTGGAGGAACATTTATTAAGAGAGGTTGTCCCTAGTGAAATCACTGAGAGAAATAAGGGAATGGCAACATCTTTAGAATTTTTCCTCTCCATTGCTGTGATACTGGCAGAGAGGGAATGATAAGCCCTTCCCACTTGCAAACCTTGATATCAAGTGTGCAGTAGGAGTTCTTGCTTCATAATTTTACTAACTTGGCCTAAAAAGAAAACTGAAAACTCGCTTCCACTAAGGGGTAAATAAAGGATGCATGGTAGATTTTTAAGAATGACCAAACAAACAAACAAAAAAAGGGCCAAACATTCCATCAGCCCTATGAGATAGACCGGAGCAGGAAACTTACTCCAAGGGAAAATTAGAACTATATCTTTTAACGACAAAATTTTGCAAATCTACCTACATATACTTTTAAAAATATTATCTTTAGAATGGGATATATATAGTCCAGCACCTTCCTTTACCTCAGCTGTCACACTAGACAGGTATGAATATTATATTATATCATGTTCTCATTTACAAGGTTTTACATGACTTTCATACTGTCTCATTTGAGCTTTGTATGTGTGTTTTACATAGTGTGTATCCTCTGTATGTGCATATCAGAGGTGGGTTTCAGCAAGTTCTGACCAGTTCTGGAGAACCAGTAGTGGAAATTTTGAGTAGTTCAGAGAACCGGTAGTAAAAATTCTGACTGGGCCCACCCCTATCTACTCTCTGCCTCCCGAGTCCCAGCTGATCAGGAGGAAATGGGGATTTTGCAGTAACCTTCCCCTGGATTGGGGAGGGAATGGAGATTTTGCAGTATCCTTCCCCTGCCATGCCCACCAAGCTATGCCCCACCCAGCCATGCCACTCCCACCAAGCTACACCCACAGAACTGGTAGTAAAAATTTTTGAAACCCACCACTGGTGCATATGTGTAAAAACATATAAAATGGTAGGTCAGATTAAAACGAATACATTTTAAATCTAAAACGAAAGCCAAAGCAAGTTCAAATAATCATATTTTTCCTAAGAATGCTCCTACATGAAGCCACAGACCTAGAAGATAGTCAGTAGCAAACGCCATATAATAAATAGCCCAGTCATTATCATCAGTGCAATTAAACTTCATTGCAATCCAGCTAAATTGTGGAACATTACGTTCCACTTGAGTTTGGTGAGATAGATTTGGGAAGAGTATGTAAATTTCTGCTCTTTTCATTTCATTATTATCAGTTATTTAAAATGGCAGTGTTCCAGTGTTCCAGCTATGATGCAGTATTAACTGGGGAAGAGGAGAAAGTTATCAATAAAATCTCATTCCATTATGGAGATTGGTTAGTGTAAGAATCATTTAGACATATCTATAAACTCATTGTGGTGCAGTTGGGAAATTTTTTTTTCTGCTGGATTTAAATTAAAGAAGCCCTTTTTAATGTTTTTGAGGAAACTGTATTCCATTTCCTCCCCTCTCTCCCACTTTGTTATAGGAGAAAAGGGTAGTATTGTATTCTGAGTTGGCTCGTTAGCATTAGACATCAACTTGATGGTACATAATCTATCATCTGTTTTTTTTTTCCTCTTTCTCTCTCATGGGTATTTTTGCACTGAGTTAAAATAGCTGAGGGATAAATGAAAATGTATCTTTTTCTGTATAAGCAACACTCTAGTGATATACCCAGATTTTCCACCCCACCACCAGTTGGCTGCAAAATGGATAATGGCAGTGGTGGGATTCAAGTAATTTAACAATCGGTTCTCTGTCCTAATGATTTCTTCCAACAACCAGTTTGCCAAACTGCTCAGAAAGTTAACAACCGGCTCTTCCAAAGTGGTGTGAACTGGCTGAATCCCACCACTGGATAATGGTCATAGTCAAAGTGTTTGGAAAACCTGACCTCTACATCGGAAAATCTCTAATTCTATTCTTTCATAAAACTAATAGATGGATTTTGGAAAGCCAATATCCTCTCACTATGTTCTTTATCTGACACCTGAGGAAGTTAATTATGTCCAGCTATCTTAGAATGTATCATAAGAAGTACCATGATTATTGTATGTCAAGAATTTGCATTATATAAATACAAAACACATCTGCTCAGGACCAGCAAGAGTAGGGTGGCAGCTCACTCAAGAAGCAAACTGAGAAGGAAAAAGATCAAGGGCCTACCCGCAAATTTTGCTCTGAAGGCTCAGAACAAGACTACTCACTCCAATACGTCACTTTGAAAAAGGCAACCACATACCCATGCAGTTTTCTGGGCTAGGAATTAAATCCAAATCCTTGCTGTCAGGAACTCTTCAGAATTTGGCATTGCCTGGGGGGACTTCTGGCTGATGTCACGGCGGTATTGGATGTGAGGAGCAGGTCTCCATGCTCCCACGCCCAGTTCTCCCTGTTGGAGGGCTCTGAAAGGAGCTAAAGCCACCCTGTAAGAGTGGTGAAGAAAAAAGGGGTGCCCTGTAGTTCGGGGAGAGTAGCAACTCTCCTGCTGGATTGAGGACTTTTTCCCTCTCCCTCGATGAAGGGAAGAGGCAGCCATCATGGCTGCCATGAAACTGGGACAGCCGAGGCAACAAAGAAATATACAGGAGCGATGCAGATGAACAGTGATTGGAGCTGGGTGAGAAGCTTCCTTTTTATTTAGACCCTAACTTTAAAGAAAAAAGAAAGAAAGAGGAAAATCCAGGAAAAGAGCCTCCTAGAACTATTTTTTAAAGCGGCGAACTACCATAGAGAGAAAAATCCTAGACCCGAAAGAAAGGAACTAAGGAGAGAAAAGCTAAAGACCTTTTAAAACATAGAAAACTGGACTTTTAAAACTGGACCTTTTAAATTGGGCAGACATTGTTTTGGAAAGGCATTTAAATGCTGGACTATCTACTTGAATTTACTTGAATAGTGAACTTTGCCTCCATAAACTATTAAATTTGGATCAATTTACTCTATAAGACCTGAAACAACACTGAAAACTAAGCTGAAGGCACCATCTACTGGTGAATGGAATATACCAGATCCCTACAAGCTTAAAAAAACTTTTTTTTTAGAACAAAATTTTTAATTGTTTTTTAAAATTCAAACAAATCAAACAAATCACTTATCTATTTAAACATTTGTGCAAGCCCCCCTTCCCTCCCCCCTCCCCCGACTTCCCAGAAGAAAAATAGGGTATAGATTTACCAAACATACGCTAAAATATGCTAAGTTAATGCAAGACATTAAAACTTCCTAGACCCCTTAACTTCCCTTCTACAGATTATTCATCAACCTCCCTTTAAACACAAAATAACATATAATCCTTTAGCCCTAAGAATTTTTAAAAAACCAATAACAAACACTAGTAGATAATACATACTTAATCATTTGGCTATTCCTCCTGCTTTTGTGCTCAATATTCAAATATTTTTAACAATAACTAAACCTTAATCATTAATTGAACTCTCAATTCATTTAGTTAATCATTGTAGTTAATCATTAATACATCAATAGTTAGACCAGAAAAAATTAATCTTCCCTTCTTCCTTTCTTTCTGTATTTTTTCCAATCTTTCTTCCTCCCTCCTTCTTTTATTTTGAGGAGGTTTTGAATTTTAAGTGGGGGTTGATGTATCTTTAAGACTTGTCCCTTTCTCGGAACCATTTCCTCTGATTTAGAGCCCCCATATCGACTCTTCTTGCTTGTATAGACAGTCAGTTCATAGAACAAAGAATTAACTCGATCAGTTTGCAAAGAAAAATCCAGTTGCTGCATTTCAATTAATTGTGTGAAAGCCTCTGCCAAATCATCTTTATCCGAAACCTCGTTCAGCTTTTCTGTCTTGATCAAAATGTCTACATTGTCATTATGCTTTCCTTCAAAAACATCCTCAGTTGCTTTTTTATCCTCCACCAATTCTGTAAATTTTTGTTCCATGATTGCTGTAAAGTTATTAATAATTTCAATTTGGTTATTCATGGCTTCCTTTATAAATTCTGCAAGGTCTCTAAAAAAAACCTCCTGGCTCTGTGTTTCAGTTCTCTGTGTTATTTCTAACGCCATTAAAGAGCCTCCACTTTCAGAAACTCCTTCCTTGGAAGCCATATTATTTTAAAATAATTTTTCTTTTCACAGCCATAAAGTCTCTCAAGCAGCTTTCTCAGATTTATTTGTAGTTTATCAAGTAAGATAGTTTTTTCTAGATCCAGCTCTCAAATCCAACAGTTTAAATCCAGTCTCTAAGCACAAGTCTATTAACAAGCACTTTCATTTCCTGCTTTCACTTTCACGCCCACAAAAAAGATGCCATTTCCAGCTCCAGCCCAGCAAAATCAAATAGAAACAATGTATCCCAGGAGTTAAGCATATACTTGCAAAAGCTTGTTCTCCTGCTTCTGTTCTGTCTGCTTTTTGAAATCAATTAATCTTCTTCTTGAAAGCAGAGTTGGTCGCCGGCGTCTGGCTCCGTTTAAACGGAGTCGCCACAGATCCGGAGCTTCAGTGGGCTGAACGGGGAGCTCTCACCCTCCAAGCCCCTGGAATTAATCCAGGGGCTCCCGGGGAGCTCTACCCTCGCCCACTGGCTCTCCTCTCCTTCTTCTCCCGAAGGAGAGGTTTTTAAGCCGTCTGACAGCTGATTAGCGCTGTCAGAACGGCTCCAATGGAATCGTGGGGCTGGCGGTCCAAGAAGACCGTCTGCGACGCCGGCGGTGCCAACCGGAAGTCCAAGCTTAGAAAAACTTTTTGATGAGAGAATAAACAACATTCATCTGGAAGATTGTGATGACACTTACTGCCCTATAACTAGTTACTGTACTTTATGATTACTGAAGACTTTGTTATGAGAGACTGTTAAGTAAAGCAAAGTGACTTTTGACCTGCGGAAGCTTTCTGGACTACTTAAATGGAATTGATTAATAATTCTGAGATGTAAAGGACTATGATTACTGAACTTTCTGAGGAGTAACATTAGACTGGAATATATTGCTTTTGGACCTGAGTAAGAGTGGGACTTATTAAATTAAGACAAGATCAGGTGGAAAGGAGTGAGAGAAATGGTGTTGATGTTTCAAAGCATTAGGGGTACTATGGAAAAGAATCACAGAGAGATAAAGTACCTAATGCAAGGCATCTATGGGAAAATAGAAAATATACTACAACTGACAATGAATGAAGATCAAAGTGTCCAGGAAAGAGAGGAGATAGCAGAAAAAACAAAAGAAAAAACAGAATAGACAAACCAGGAAACAAAGCAAGAAGATGAGAAGAAGATGATTAAGATAATAATGACTGAGGAAATAAATCAAGGGAAAAGCACTTTAAGAGATTTAAAAATGGAATTGGACTGGGAAGAAACTTTTGAAAGAGAGATAGGGGCTTGGGTGAATATTCTGGAGACCTGGCAGCTTAGGAGGATAGAGATGGGAGAAATATTCAGTGTGAATGGTGAAGATACAGGTGTTGATAGAGATCCAAGAGAGGATTATGGGAGGCAAGCCAAAAAATGAATAAGAATTGAAGTATTAAAATGGGCAAGAGATGATGGATAGAAAGGAATTTGTGTGTGTGTGTGTGTGTGTATTCTTTTTTTCTGATACAATGATGGTCTGATTAGAAATTTGAATAGAGGTAGAAATAAGAATATACACCTTTATTTGACGCAATAGTTAGATGGAAAGACTGGAGGTTGAAAAAGAATATTATAAGGTATGTTTAAATAATGGGAAGACTGGTACTTGAATGGCGTATTGGGACTTTGAACAATAATTAAATAATGAAGGGCTATGCCTTATATAAACATGTATATTAATATTACGATTAGCAATAGTGAGCTAATTAGAAGTTAGAATAGAGGTAGAAATAAGAAATGGGGGAATAGTAGCAGATATAATTTTTTCTTTCTCTTTCTTTCTACATAAAAGAATATAAGTAATAATTTGATGGAAAAGATTAGAGGGGGAAAGATGGTATTACCATGTATGTGTACAACATTATTGGAATTAAAATGGAATACTGAAATATTGAATAGCTACTTTAAAAAAATGTATATTAATACTAGGATTATTTAAATTTAATTAATATAACAATTATTATGATTATCATTATTGATGTTTGTATCAAAATGAGTTATACCCAGGGATCACACTGTTCATATATTGATACTGATGTATACTTAAAAATAAAAAACTTTTAAAAAAGAAAAGAAAGAATTTGGTATTGCCTGGGAGGGGTTTTGTGATAGCAGGCACATAAAGGCAGCAAAATATATAGCAACAGCTCTGTATCTTAGGATCTGCTTGGGCTGCCATTACTCTACTCTCCCTGCCCTAAAAACTGGATTTGAAGCAAGTTTCCCCTTCCTGTTTTCCAGGCTTTCCACAGTTTCCTGAAATCTCAGGAGGAAGGGGAATTATTCCAGAGGGCAGGAATTGCAACAGAAATAGGTGTGCTTCCTGGGTCCTGCAAGATAGCATTCTTTAATTGATGGGGTACAGAGTGCACCCTCCCTGTTGGACTGTACTGGACAGATGCAGATAACTGGACATGTTTGTTTTCTCATTACCTTCTGACTACGTTTGTCTTTGCTGCTGGTGAGAAGAGCCAAATGGAGATGAATGATAAATCAGAATTTTCAGCAATTCCACTAATCATTTCATTTAAGCATGGCCACAGTCATTTTAGCAGTATGTTGGATTTTGTCACTGCACGTTACATTAAACGGCTTTAAAAAAGAATAATTAGAATAGTCCCACTAGAATACATATGGATTAGGATCAGTGGTGGGTTTCAAAAACTTTTACTACCGGTTCTGTGGGTGTGGCTTGGTGGGTGTAGCATGGCTTGGTGGGTGTGGTTTGGTTTGGTGGGTGTGACAGAGGAAAGATACTGTAAAATCTCCATTCCCACCCCACTCCCCATTTCTTCCTGATCAACTGGGAATTGGGAGGCAGAGAACAGATGGGAGCAGGGCCAGTCAGAATTTTTACTACCGGTTCTCCGAACTACTCAAAATTTCCGCTACTGGTTCTCCAGAACTGGTCAGAACCTGCTGAAACCCACCTCTGATTAGGATGTTAGAAAATTGGCATGGTGGGTTATGAAATCTGCCTTTATTATACTAAAAATGAATCAACGTTCAATAACATGGTTTTATTTTTGAAATGTCTTACTTCTTGAAGTGTAGAAAATCAATTACAAGTAATACTAGCAATAAATAGTTATCAGCAAAATAATGGATGATTGTTCTGTTCTAATAATGATTTAAAAAATCGTGACTGAAAGTACTATCAGATCATAGCTAAAAATACATTCTATATTTGATAGGGCAACAGCAGTATTAGGAAATGGGAATGAGAAGAGAATTATTCTGGAAAAAATGGACAAATTCTCTATATTCATGAGGCTAATGCCCAGTATGGAGGCTGGGATTACATACAAGGAAAATATGGCCAATTTAAAATGTGGTTCTTTATGTTTCATTTGTTTTGACTTCAAATGTGAATGGCTTCCTGGCTGTACAAAATGAGCTTGCATGCAAAGTCAACAGGATACAATCAGAGCAGGTAATACCTCTGTTATTTTCATTCTAAGCTGGTGGTTCTCTGACTGTAGCCCTTCTAATCGAGATGTGCTGGCTTGGTTGACACTGGTGACAGATGTTGATGTTTTTGAGTCATCTTTCTTCTGATTTTGGGTGAACTGAAGCCCTCTGTTCCGAGTGGCAGCATCTGGATTTGTTCTTAGAGTAATTAACTGAAAAATTTTAACAGCAATGAAATAATCCTCAAGGAAAATTATTGAGTCATTGGCTATCTTTGCCCCTCTATCCCTTAAAAGACTGTAGAAATAAAGGTTATAGAGCACACAAATAATTCAAGTATCAAGTTTATAGTTTGCAGCAGCAACCAGCTCATTTTCTACATACACATGACTTAAAATTATTCAGCTACATATAATCCCATTCCCAACTGGCAAAAATTTCCTACTGTACCACTGAGCTTCCAGAAACCCATGCAAGTAGCCTCAGTACTGCTATGATCCCTTGCCACCTCAGTGCATCCATTCTATGCATCTGATGAAGTGAGATGCAGCTCAGAAAAGCTTATGTCTTTCAATAAAATTTGTTTAACTGAAAAAGGTGCCACTAGATTCTTAATTTTTACCATCACAGATTAATGCAGGTCTCTCCTTCCTATGTCTAGAATTACAGGTAATTGTGAAATAACGTTCAAACCTAATACGGGCAATTTTGATTATGATTATGATTTCTAGCTTTTTTATATATACAACTCGAGAAACTCCCTGCGATGCACTAACCATAACATTCTATTGGCTCTCATCTTATAGAAGTGGAGCCAAGTCTTCCCTTTTGCATGGTTCTTCCTCATTCCAAAGCATTGTGGAGACACGCACCTAATTGCTGCACAAAATCATATGCAAATAAAACCATTCATTACAAATCAGGTTACTTACCTTAGGTACAAAGACTAAGCAGAGGGTAATGGTGCTACAAAATATAATGACTAGGGCCACAATGCAGAACTGTACATTGGGCTGGTCTCGTGTAAGAAAGGAAACCGCAGCTCCAATGATGCACATGATGCCCACATTATAAACACTCATGCCGATGTATTTACTGTCGTTCAGAGCAGGAATGCTCACATTTCGAGTTTCCCAAGCTAAAAAACAGCCAAATAGCTGAAACCAGAAAATAAAGGAAGGCATTTTGTAATAAAACACCCATTTTTCATTTTTGAAAACAAAATTGCATTCATATATTGAAATTGGGAGGAAGAGATTTCCTCCCCCCACTCTAAACAAACAAACAAAACAGAAAGGATAACACACATTATACACATAGAATGCAGCTCTTTAAATACAATATTAAATCTGGATCAGAAGGAAGCAGTTTTACTGTTTCTATTCTTGTGCATTAGACAATGTAAATCCTGCACTGAATTTTAGGTCCTTAGTTTGATAAATGCAAGTATATTTAATTTCCACTGATGAATCTGACTAACTCTTCTTTTTCAAATGATAGGATTTTAAAGAGCTTAACATTGATTTGATAACATTTTATGGTATTTAATTTCAGACCAGGGAGGGAGGGTGGGTGGAGTTACTGCCATAATGGTGCCTACTTACACGTTTCTATAACTACATTACTTACTAGAGGGCACTAAGTACAGCCTAAACAAGAAACATAAAGGAGCTAACATAGAGTAGCAGCTCCCTTCTCTCTGCTGATCATTGGCTAGACAGAGTTGTTAAAGTGTTGGCCTAGGAATTGGGAATCCCAGGTTGAAGCTTACCCACAACCATCAAGTTCACAAATAAGTGACCCAGTTATTTTATTCTAGCTCAACAATCCTGTGTGGTAAGGGGAAAATAATGGAGGAGAGTATTATGTGTGTACCCAAAGCTCCTGAAGGAAAGGCAGGATAGAAATCTAACAAACAGCACCTGAGATGAATATATTATTTATATTTCTGTAATTGAAACATTAAGTTATAAAACCAGGTTCATTGCTAAAGAGCCATTAAAGGTATTTCCAATAGACTGGGTACAATTACGTTAAGTTACAATTACTGATGTTTTTATCAAGTCGTGTATTTCAAGGTGCAGTGAAGGTACTTTGAAGTCACAAGATAATCAATACTATTTGCTTTTACTTGTTGTATTTAAAGGGCAGAAACCCATTTACATTGGACAGTGAGAATACAAGATATCATAATGTTAGTAGTCAAGTTTTTAATATGCAGCTTTCGTGTCTGCAGACCACATTCTCCATCTTTCAACAATCAAACTTCTCGAACTCGCAAGATGGCTTTCTTTTACAGCGTGTTTCCCCGGACACAACGGCGAGGAAAGCGACGGAGCTTAAAAGGTAAGACCTGTGTCCCGCTTCTCACCCGTCCCACCTGCCACCCCCAAATTGCATCCCTAAAGGGAGTGGGTGGCTAAGTGAAGGGCAGGAGCCGTGTCATGCCTGGTGAGGGGGAAGAAGAGATGGCAAGGGGAGCCACGTCTCGCTCCACGCATCTCGCTTCTCCCCCGCCTTACCGCCACCCCTCTCAATAAAGAGATGGCGGGGAAGGGGAGCAGCAGGCTGCTGAGGGGTGGGCATGTCCCCTCTTCCCCTCCCTCTGGCTTCACCTCCTCAACTCATTTTGGTTGCGCGGCAAGCAATCAGAGGAAATGGCAGGACTGGCTGAGCATGCGTGTAAGTAGTTGGTCGGGGGGCTATTTTGTGGGGGTGGCTTATATTATCACATGTGCTGAAAAGCCCGATTGGGCTTATTATCTGGACATGTTTTATTTTTGGGAAAACACGGTAGAATAAAAAATTGGAATCTTATAACTTTGCTTTCTGGAATTAATCTCACTGTTATCACAAGATAATTTATTTTGATTTCTGTTTTTATGATAAACTCAAATGCATGTCTATATTTTATTGATTAGTTTTTTATCCCACCTTTATTATTAATTAATTAAATAATTTAAGATAGCAAACATACATAATACCCCTTCCTCTTCCTTTTCCCTCCAACAGCAACTCTGTAAGATGATTTGGGCTGAATGAGAATCATTGGCCTAAGGTCACCAGCTGTTTTTCATGGGTAAGGCAGGACCAGAACTAGGTCAGCACCCTAGTCTACAGCAAACTGGCTCTCATTTTAAGAGCATGTTATAATATGCTATAATATATATAATATTATATATAGAATATATATAATATATTCTATTTACTTATAATTAGAACATATATATATTTCAATGAAATAAACTTCTCTAATATATTGTAGATATTTAGTTTAGAAAAACATAGCACAAACAAGACAGGCAAGGTATACGTTTTTATTTCATATATTTTTCTCCTATCATTCCTTTAAGGTTTCAGGGGAAGTACTCAATTTTCTCCTATCATCTTTTTTATTCAGAAACCATCCTAGAAGGTAAGCTAGGCAGAGCAACAAGGACTAATATATAGTGACCCCAGTCAGTTTTATGGCTAAACAAAACTGTGAATTAAAGTTTCCCAAATTCCTGAGCCAAGATACTAAACATTACACTACCACCCTAGACTCTGAGCTGCACTTACCATTCAACTTACCATGAGTAGGCCTTTATAGGCATAAACTATGCCAAGCCATATAGTCATATGAGTGTTTTCACAATGCTCCAAAATGGGAAGAATTGAAATATCTCGGCCGGCAGGGTCGGGCTACAAGGGGATACAACAGAACAAAAGAAAGGCTGTTGATATTTATTTCTTTAGATCTATACATGAAGAAGAAAAAGACCTGTGGCTAGTCTGAAGAGCAAAATCCTGCAAGAAATGGAATTAAGGTGGAAGAAGGTTATCATATTGTCTCACTACAATATTCAAAAATGTACACCTGTCAGATCATTTTGGGGCATTTTTACTGCAATTCTACATATATGAACTACACATATTCTCTTCTGTTGGAAGTTATTTTCTTTTTTCACACATATGCGGGTGGGAGGGTAGAGATAGAGAGAAAATGGTTCACTTAAGAGATTGTAGTCTGATTGTTGGGGTGGATGGGTAGGAACCATTGAACTGGCTATACCAGGGTCAGCAACCTTAAACACTCAAAGAGCCACAAAGGCCCTAATCGGAAGCCCCCCATTCAATTCTGGAGCCAGCCGGAAGTCTGGTTCCCCCCACCATAGTGTCTCCTCCTAGCGCAGCGTCCTTTTTATTCTACCTATCCTAACTGAAAGCCCTACCAATTGTAGAGCTGACTGTGGGCAGGAAGCCACAGCAGAGGGATGAAAGAGCCACATGTGGCTCCAGAGCTGCAGGTTGCTGACCCTTAGGCTATACAGTGTTATTTTTATTGCCATCAATCTATTTGCTTAGTCATGGGTCTTCATTCATTTAATATTACAAAAGCAGATAGTTTATCCACAAAAATGTATGACCTCTTCCAGCAAAAATCACCTACAAAGAAAATGATGAAAACTTCTGCATCTGAAGTGCTAAAGAAAAGAAAAAAATTAGAAATGAAAAAATCAGTCTAGAAAGCAGAGACCTGGAGCTGATGGCTGAGGACCAAGAATGTGGATGTTTTTATTTACCTCCAAGATATGAATGAGATACATATCTCTGGGATTTTATTGTATTCCTATGCAAAGATTTCATACTATAGATTAAAGAAACTGGCGAGGGCATGGTTCTAAGAAGGATAGAGATGTTATTTAATCAAATAAGACAAGAGCCAGGTGACTTGCACTGTAAAAAGAATATTGCACATTAATATAGTATTAAATTAATGAAGTACACATTGAATATAAAAATAAACAAAATAGCTTAATAACATCCAATTACTTTTGCCATTTGATTTTGCCTTTTGATTTTTATTTTACAAGCAACTATGTACTTATAGAGGGAGCTGAAATAAAATAAATCCTTGTCTTTATCTTAAATGTGTATCTGGTCAATTTTAATGGACAAATACCACATTTTGTATTAAAAATCATTAGCAGCTTGCATGTTGCACACCATCAATACTTTTCTACATTGTGCTTGTGTTACCATTAATGTCCAGCTAAAACGCTATGGATTGATTTAGATAAGACCACACTTAGAACAGATCAATCTAAATAAATGGGAATTAAGCTAGGCTGTAGCTTTTTTTGAAGTAAAACTGTATTTTAATAAATAAAGCTTGGCTGTAGCTTATTTTGAAATGTAACATTATTTCTAATTTCATAAAAGGAAAGATTTATTTATTTATTTATTCAATATGAATGTTACCCAACTCCAAGTGATTCTGGATGGCTCACAGCATAAAAATAAACCACAAATATAGGTAGACCTCAAGTTACGATCAGTTGAATTTACAACAGACGCCTCCCCTAAGTACTTATGACCCCATTTCAAAGTTACAGCCATTGCAGAACTGTTATAATCTTCCCTTATGACCAACTGCAGAGATGCTGCAGGGGTCCCTCCACCTATCTCCTTCAACCATCCTTCCTCGTTGGGTCCCTGCAAAGCTTGGACTTGCTTTCCACCACACACTGAGTCCCAGCAGGGTTTGGGCTTCCTCCCCTCCCCTGTCACTCATCACATAGTTACCTTTTGAAGATCTCCAAGATCCGGACCTCACGTTGAGGAAGGAGGGTAGGCTACTCCATCCCTCAGTGTTTCTGCCATGGCAGCCCAGGTATGCTGAGGGAAAGAGTGGCCTGCCCTCCTTCCTCAATGTGGTCCAGAGCTTCAGAGATCTTCAAAAGTTAAGTGCATGATCAGTGATGAGGGTGGGGAGGAGGTGTAAGCCTTGTAGGGATTCGGTGTTGTGAGGGAAAGGCCTATAGGGATTCAGTGGGAAGAAACAGACCTCTAGAGACCTACTGGGAAGGAAAGGCCTGCGGGACCTAGTGGGGGAGGGAGAAAGCTGTGGAGATCCCAAAGAGTGGGAATCAGAACACACGGTGTCTCAGGGGGAAATGGAGAACTTGGAAAGCCTATGGCAGGCAGGCCTGGGCCTGTACTAGGTCTCCCAGGGTCTCTCCTACCCTTGAGGTATCCCATGTTCTGTTTTACAACTGCATCGGAGAGAGCAAGTGACCTTTCTTAACTGCCACCACTGCATGCAACTGTAATGGGCAGGTCCCATTATGGTTGCAGGTTGAGCACTACCAGTATACAAAAAGCATTTGTCAACAAAACAAACATATTTGCTCACAAGTGCTCAAACCCTTCTAGCCCAATGCCTGAGAGAACAGTCTTTGAGGTACTCCAGAATGCCATCAGTGTGGGAGCTACCCAGCTCTTAAAGGACCCTCTTTCCATAGAGTGGGTGCATTGACAGAGAAGAAATGCTTCTGGGTTCCTGAAAGGTGGAACTACTTGGTTGAAAGAACCTGGAATTCATCATTTTTGTTGTATTGAATTGGTCAAGCTGATGCTGTGGAAGATGAGTGATCTCTAAAGTAAACAGCCCCTATGTCATGTAGGGCTTTATAGGTTATAACCAGCACCTTGAAGATGATTTGTTTTCAGGAGCACAGCATGAGAATGGATTTACATTAGACTATTAAAATTCCTATTTCAGTTTTCTATAAGTATGCTGAGACAAGCACATCATCAAGTAACTATGCAGGTTTCTTGGCTGTGTTATGTATTGTAAATGATCTGTCATTGCTTTTTTTACAGGATACTTTTCAGCTTTCCAGTTTAGCTTACAATCCTTGTATTGTCTCCCATCCAAACATGTACTACATCAGATCCTGATTAACTGCAAGTGTGAACAAAGATAGTACAGTGTGCCATTTGCTTTAGGTTAATGGAATATAGGAATATCCATCCACATTCAAGAACATGATTGTTTCAGGCTTTCTTTTATTTTTTGGGATTGTGCATCTTAAAGTTTTAACACTCTGCACAAAAAACAAACATTAACAAACAAACAACCCCTGAAACAAATTGGATGAATACCACCTCCCATCAAAAAAGCACTGACAATTTTATTATGGTCTTTTTCCAGTTATGCAGGGGAAAATTAAGTTAAAAAAATGGAATCTTTGCAAAAGCCAAGAAAAAAATGCAGGAAGGGTGCTGATACAGGATATCAGTAGGATAGCTATATATATGGTATATATATATATATGTGGTAGATACTGCTTCCGACTACAACCGGGAGAACGGCTGTAAGGAGCTCTCCCAAAAGCAAATTAGGTTTTTCTTTTTAACGTTTTAAAGTATTTTTATATTTTTAACTCACTTTTAATCTATTTTTAATCTATACTGGACTCTTACAAAGCACATATAGTGTGGCTACTGTTTGTTTTAGACATATTTTAACAACACTACAACCTGCATTCCTGGCCTAGGCTACTTCTGTGACTCCTCCTTGCAAGGCCTGAAATTCGGATTACCGGACTTGTTGACAAACCTCACTGGAGGCCCCTAACTTCGGAGGGGATTTTGAGCTGTTTGTTTTTGGAACGAGTACAGTAAGGAACTGGCTGCAGACGCTCCCGGTAGGCCTGCCTTTAATGAAACCTTATCAGCTTTTTAGTCTCCTACCCCCACATATTTCCCAGTGAAATAATTTAAACAATTTAAACATTTCTGAAAATAGATGATAGCAAAGAAGTAGGAGTAAAAGACAAGCCGTTGTTTGGAAAGGAGATTGGTTTTTACCTTTGTGGTGCCTCGGCTGAGACCATCATTAAGGCCTACCTTAACTACGATTGCCGAGGGAGGATAAATTATTGCGATATTTAATTTCACTGGGAGATATTGGATCAACTATCTACCAGAATGGGAAAGAAAAGTAAGAGGCAGAGAGCTTGCTCTCTCTCCCAAAAATCTATGACAGAACTTAATTACTCCAAGCCTCTTAAACAGCTTAAATTGGATGACTTTATGGAGTGGTGTAATCCAGAACCCCAATCTGAACTTCGAACTTTGTCTCTGTCGACTGTATCATTGGGAGAGGGAGATACAGAAGGGGAGTTTTCTTCCCGGATTTCAGATTCAAACTCGCCTGCTAGAATGGGTGATTTTTCAAGCTCTATCCCCTCTCCTACTTCTAGCTGCTTAAAAGAAGTTCCGACATATTCAGACCTCAGAGAGATGGTCTGTACTCAGAGTATGTTAACTGCGCACACAGTAGATTCAATATATGACTTACTGACATCGATCAAAAGAGACATCGAGAGGATCTTCCAATTCTTAAATGGCCCTCACTCCGCAGCTAAGGAGGGTGAGATTGCACACCATCCTGACGCGCGGAGAGAGTGGGAGGGTGTAAGACCTCAACCCAAACAACAAAGCATTGCAAGTACTGATGCTAACCCTCATCAAGGAAGAAGGTTGTTAAAGAAACAAATCGCTTTAAGGATAAGGAAAATCCCATGCAATAGAGGATGATGGACTTCAAAGGAAAGGATAACCCTCTCACTTGCACAGCTATTGAAATCTGATCCTTTATTAATAGATCTACTCAGATATGAAAAACTTCCCCAGCATAGCAATTGTGTTCGACTAATACTGCATTTTGACAGCAATACTATACCGAACGCTGTAATGAAAAGAAAAGGATCCCTGCTCAGATTTGAAGTCATTCCTACAAGAGTCTTCTCGAGTGGGCCTATTAAACCACTTTTACAAGGACTTAACCAAACATCAAAAATGGTACCTAGGAACCACTCTGCTACCTCCAGGGTCTTTCCTCCAGAATCCGG